CACCACTGAGCTAAGCTGTATAGGTTTCCCGTGGGTCCCAGAGACGGTGTGAAGGTCCTTGTGCTTTCCTAAAGCAGAAAGCAGGAAACGAGATATCCGAAGAGTGGGGAGAAAGGAGAGCCCAGGAAATGCGCCTGCCCTAACCTCAGATTTCCTCCCGTGGAATCCAGGGTCCCCCTTCGGGCACAAGCAAGTTCCTGACGCTGCTGGGTTGCTGGAAGCAGGCACCCCCACCCCATTCTGGAGTTTTCCTGGCCCAAGCGAGGGGATGGGTCTTTTCAGATTCCCCACTCTTGCTGAAATTGGGCGGAACAGACCCCTAAAACGCCAAGGTTAAACTCTTGAAAGCTGTTCCCAGACCCTGGGCACCGCCCTCCTCTCTGTCCCTGCGCTCCAGGGACCCAGAAGCCCATCCAGTCGCCTTCGCCCCAAAGCCACCCCTGCCGGGCCTTGAACCCCCAGGTCTGCACGCCCAGTCTTGACCCCGGCGGGCCCAGGCCCCCGGACTCCACTCCTGGGCCGCCCCGGCCCTGGAGTGTGCCCTTCGGCTCTGGGGACCGCATTTAGCGGCAGAGGCTCCCGGGTTCGCCGCGGAGCTGGCCGGCCCGGACCCCGGCGCGGTCCCAGCGAGGGATCGCAGCGGCCGGGGCCACTCGGGCCGAGCCTGGGCGCACCTGTGTAGCAAATCTCAAACACCGTGGGGTGGCAGCCCCCGGCCGGCCGGCCGAGCGCGGGTTTGTCCGCTTTTCCCCGTGTTTCCCGCCCTCTCGGGTTTCGCAGAGCTTAGGGTCGCGAGCTCCCTGCGGGGCGCAGTCGCAACCCGGGATGAGCCTCGCCGGCGCGCGCTCTCTGCGTCCTTCTCGCCCTGGGTCTTGCGGGGCAGCGAGGAGTCCGGGGTAGGGGCTGCGAGGCAGAGGCTTCCCGCAAGGCTCCGCCCTGGGAGTCCTAACCGCTTGCATCCGAGATCCCCGCGTCCTGCCGAGGGTCACAGCCGCAGGGCGCGGGAGCCACGCAGCCCGCGAGTGGACAGTGAAGCCCCGGCGAGCGCAGATCGCGCCCGCTGTCGGCTGCTGGCTCGGCTCGGGCTTCCTTGCAGCCCCGCAGCCGCAAGGTCCCTGGAAAAGTTTCACGGGAAAGTCACATTAGTCCTAAAAGCCGCTCGACAGCAAGGAGTCTGCAGGGTTTGAGTCGTCTGGCGTCACTTACAGGAGCCCCGAGCTCGGACTGCAGACCCGCGTCCTCCTAAGCGGCCGAGGAGGCAGGTGCATTTCCCTGGACCAAACGCCCCTCCTTAGTTTGGTTCTTTCTGAAGACGTTTCCAAAGCCTTTTTGCCGTTTCTCCGCTTGTTTCCTTGCTAAATCTGGCCCTAGACTCTTCTATGAGTGTAGGGAGGGGCGGCCGTGGGGTCCTTAGGATGTGGGGGCACTGGCCAGACCCAGACAGGTGCCTCTGGGTTGGGAGCCTTGACAAGAGCAAGGTCCCTCTAGGGGCAAGGCTGGAGCACGACGACTTAGGGGAGAGCCTGATTCATAACCGGGTTTACACCTCTAGGTCTGAGCTAAGTTTCAGGGAGCCACCGCACTCCCAGAGGAAGGGGGCTTTTTGCAGCTTCTGCCGGGACATCAATGCAAGCGACAAAACTTTGCTCTACCCAGCAGCTTTGTAAAAAGAAGCCAAAGCCTTCGAGGAAATAAGGCTTCCTGCTGTGAGAGCTGAGAAACAAAACTTTGGCTTTGCCAGCCCAGGCCACTTTCCCCTGTGCTTTTAGGGGGACACGAGTCCAAGACCCAAAACCTGGGGCGAGGAAATGGCAACCGTAGGAACAAGGATTCGGTGGCACAGCTAACGCTGGTCTCCGCTTTTCTTTACCAGGAGTGACTCTCTTTGCCTCGAAAGTTCTGTCATCGGCCCAGGAACCATGGAGAGATTTTTTTTTTCAAGCGTGGACTCTTGAGGTTGTCTCCACTGGGGGGGGGGGGTCGCTGTCCTTCCGAGGGTAAAGCATCCTTTACTCTGGAGTGAAGGGACTCTCTTCGGGTTTCTACGAATTTAACACTATTTCAGACTTGAGAACTTTACTGAGAGAGGACAATTTAAAACGAACAAACAGTAGCCAAGGACAATTTTCACCCTGAGGCCAAGCAATCTTAGGCCTGGCATTTCAGATTTGAGAATTTAACCAGAATAGCAGTGAAAGTCAGGATCCTGTAAACCTACATCTCCATGGAACACTCCCTGCCGCCCTCCACAGAGATCCGCCCTAAGAGTGATTCTTCTCTTCCCAATAAATCCAGAGACCCCTAAAGATCTCGTTCCCAAATCTCCTCCTCCCTGGTTTCTGTCCTGTTTTTAAAGAAATCTTCTCTCCTAAACCCTATGCAAAAAGAATTTCTGTAACTGAGAAAAGAACTTCAGGACTTGGGGGGAGGATCATCCTAATATTGGAAGCAGTGACTGTTTTTAGTTCCTTTGGGTGACTTGGAGGAGAGCAATCTTGGCTTTTGGTTATTTTTGGCTCAATCCCCTGTGAGAGCAGACTTTGCAGGTATTTAAATTGACTACCGGAGGCCACTCCCAGAATTCCTGTTCCAGCAACAGGAACTACAAAAGCCAGCAGTGCTCTGAGGTGCAGTGTGGTCCCCAGGCTCAGCCCAGCAGCCCACCCCGGGGCCTGTTGTAAAGAGCAGGCCTTTGGAAACAGGACTCAAAAGAAGCAAGCACTGGAAGAGAAAGTCGTTTTCCTGATTGATGAAACTTTCCCTCCCCTCCTCATTCTAAATAATAAACTCCCAGGCAAGGCTGGAAGGTTGCCTTGTGTTGGTTTCAAATAAATCCTCAACAGGCTCTTTCCTCACTCAGAGGAATGAATCACACTTGGGAAACAGACGATTATTCCCCCATTTGTCTGCCCCCAAGCCAACACCCTGCACTGTAGACCTTTATTTTGGTCTTTCTCCTTAACTGAGGGCCTGGAGACAGTGGGAAAGTAAAAAGGGAGGAGAGTGAATCTGAGGAAGGAGACAGGCACAGGTCCCCTCCTCGAGAAGGTCAGAATGGGCTGCAGGGGGACTCAGAAGGGCAGGCAAAGCCTTCCTTAAATGAACCCTCTAGATGGGATCCTGGAAAGAGATCTTGGGTCTCAACCAATTGTGAGATGATCCTGGGTCTAATTCAGGGGCAGTTTCAGGGTTCCATTTTCCTTCGTAGGAAATAGCCAAGGGTGCAGCTAGAGTTATCGAATTTGATTTTCTTTTAAAACAAATCATCAAAACCTTCAGCCAGATTGCTCCAATTGAAGCAAACTATTCAGAAGCGTTATTGGGATGGGGAACAAGTGTGAGGAGAGAAAAGTAATTGATTAAAGTGACCCCAGTTTGAGCCTCATTTAAACTGAAGATGCCCCATGTGTTTGGCTAATCAGAACAGCAATCTTCTAAGGGGGGAAGAAAGGAGCGTTCTAGCTATAAATCTTCAGGCTGCTGGGACTGGGGCAGTCCTTTGCCTCCCCATAGCTCACCTTACAAAGCAGAGAGGCTTCTCTTTCTCTGCAGGCAGCTGCCAAAGGGCAGGCAGGAAGCAGTGTGGGTGCCTGATTATTCCATGGAACCCGCTCTTTGTTGACTTCTTCAGTGCATATTGGATTTTAACATGGGAGGGAAAGACCCGCCAGGTCGATTTAAAAGTAAAAGAGTTGAACTTACTGCTTCCTTCTTGGTTACCAGCATTGCTAGTGCAGCCATCACGCTGCCTGGCTCACTTCCTGCCACTTTGTGTTTCCAGATTACTTTTTTGATCTCAACCACTGAGTTTATGAGGGTCAGATTACTGCAGAGAAATAAAGAGCTGTAACAGTGCGACACTTCAGAGTAGAGATCCTGCTCCATCTGAAGGGCATCTACCTGCAATAGTTAGCAGCAATTCATCTGTTCTCTTTATGATAAAAAAACCTGAGAAAAGTCTTCATATCCTCCTCCCCTCATCCAAATCTTACACACACCAAGCACACCTCACAACAGGGTCCACAAGTTTCCTATTCCATTACCTCCACAGTCTAAGATCTTAAGGCAAAGGCAAAAACAGGATTTAAAGGTTCTTTTTTATTTGAAATCTCATCCAGAAACACTGGTTATTAATAAATATATCATAGTTATCAAGAATATATAAAAAATAAAGACAGGTATTGTCTTTGAGGCCCTAACAAAATATTTCAAGCAAATGTTCAGGAAAATAAAAACAGCCCCCCCTCCCCAAACCACAGTGAATTTTCAAAGCTGATAACAGAGAGAGCCAGGAACCCCTCATGCAGAATAACTGAGCAAGGGGGATGGGGCAAGGTACTGGTTGGAGCCCGAGCTCTGGCAATCGCAGGCCCCCAGAACAGCCAGGAAGGTTTGGAGTGAGCTTGGCAGGGCATGGGGTAGGGGAAGAAGCCAGTGTGAGTGTGGGTCTTTGCACTCTGCCCCTGTTCATTTCATACAACCACAGACAGATACATGGAGTACTTCAGAGAATTCACGAATAAATCCTTGTTACAAGGAAAATGGCACGGCAGCCCGCACAACATGGTTAGACAAGATTCATTTAGAGCCTGCATGCATTCTTTTGACCTACACTGCGTAGAAAGGAAAACCCACAGAAGGGGTGTCATGCCCTGGACCAGAGTTGAGATTCAAAACTTGAGTCTTGAGATTCATACTCATTTCCTCTCTCTTTCTCCCTCTCTCCTCAATCTCTCTCTCTCTCTCTCTGTCTCTCTCATCTCTCCATTGTCTCTAGAAAAACCATGGCATGGACAGAGACAATCATAATTTGCATCCATCTCAAGGAAATATTTACATCTGTTTTGCACAAAAGGCATGGCCACCGTTTTCCGAGGTGAGAACACAGAGCCGGAGAAAGACAACTCAAAGCTCCTCAAGTTTTTAACTACACCGATCCCATCTTTATACAACAAATGCGGTTTGTGACAAGAGCTTATGGCAGTGAGAAATACTGGCGCGACACGGGGAAAAGCAGCATGCATGCAAAACACGACGTCTGGTCCGAGTCCCCTTCGCTACCACCTAGAATTTGCGGTTTGGTTTTGGTCCTTTCCCCCCACCCGGGGGTGCAGTGTGCAAGGCCTCGCGGACCCCGCAGCCCACAGGCCGAGGCCCAGCCTCCCTTGACCGGCCCAGCCCGGAGCCCCTCCCGCCGCTCTGCCCTCATCCTCCGCAGCCCAGGCGGCCGCTGCTCACTTGAGCAAGTCCTTGGACTCGGCCGAGAGCCGGGCCATGTTGGCGGTGGAGAGGGCGGACAGGTGCGGCGGCGGCGGCATCTGGCAGATGGTGCACGGGCAGGGCAGCCCGGCCCAGTGCTGGAAGCCGCCGCCCAGCTGCAGCGCGGACGGCGTGGAGGGCGCTTTGAGCAGCGAGTGGGGCGGCCGAATGGAGCCGATGGCCGGCAGGGAGGCGGCAGACAGCGGGGACGAGGCGTTGCCGGACGACAGCGCGCCGCTCAGGATGGGGTGCACCGGGTGCACCGCGGCGTTGGCCGCGTGGGCCGGGTGGCCGGCCGAGTGTCCTACGGTGCCGCAGTGGAAGGCCGAGTGGTGGCCTCCGTAGATTTCTCCAACCAACCTCTTCATCTCCTCCAGGGAGCTGGTGAGCATGAGGATGTAGTTTCTGGCCAGCAGAAGCGTGGCGATCTTGGAGAGCTTGCGCACCGAGGGCCCGTGCGCGTACGGCATGACCTCGCGCAGCCCGTCCATGGCGAGGTTCAAGTCGTGCATCCGCTTGCGCTCGCGTCCGTTGATCTTCAGCCGCAGCTGCTGTAGGTCCTGCTCCGACAGCTGCTTCTTGATTTTGTACTTGCTGCTCTCTCCCGCGGCCTTGGCGCCGACCCGCGAGAGGCTTTCCCCAGGCATCTTCTGCACCATGTCGCCCTGGGTGGACGAGACCGAGTTGAGACGGCTCTCTTGGTGGTGGTGGTGGTGGCGGTGGTGGTCCCTCAGGTACATCTCATCCATGTCTGGAGATGAGGCTCTGCTGGAGACAGAGCTCGAATCAGAATTCATTTTATTACAGGGATGCGGCCCTACCGTGGGGGGAGGCTTTAGGCGGGAAATTAAAGAGAATCTTGAGTTAAAAAAAATTGCACTGCCCAGCAACCCACTGCTCCGTTTCGAGACGTGAGAAGAAAAGCCCAGGGCCGCACTGTCCTGCTCCGCCTCTCTCCGGTCAGGCTGCCTCCTGGACAGCTAGTTCGTTTGTGCTTGAACTAACCTCACGCAGAAAAAGAGGGGCTTTTATAGAGCTGCGGCTGAAAAAAAGAGACAAAAGGAGCCCTCCTATCTATCCTGAGCTGGTTAGGATGACGTGCCATCATTCAGGGCGGTGCGCTTTGCTGTCCCAGTTAGCAAGGATTCCTATTCATATTCATTGTGGGGCTGCCCTGGGACACCTCTGCTTCGAACCGCTAGGAGCCCCCAGGCACAAAACCCTCTGATTGACACACTCACCGCTCCGGCTCACGCCTTCCTGATTTTTTTTTTTAAACTCTCTTCCACACCCCACCCCCTTCCCAATTTCCCTAACCAAATCTTACACATTAGGAATTAAGAGGAGAGGAGAGAAGCAGGCCAGACGCTTGGTGCAGGTTCCTGTGGGTTTGGAGAGAGGAATAAAAACGTTCTCTCCTTCCCTTCAGAGCGGTTCCCAAGGTTAGGGAAATGTGGGCCAAAAGGACCGGTCTGAAGGAGAGAGGTTCGGAAGTGGGGGGCAGGTGCGATCAGCGGGGGCTAGAGGAGAGGAAGGACTGCGTACCCCAGGCTCGCTGTCTGATGTTTTTCTTCATTGATTCTCCTTTGCTAAACAAGGACATTCTGCTAACAATGTTAATTTTGTTTATTGGGCCCTTCTAAGGCGGTTGCAAAGGCATGTCCATATTTGGTAATGGGTTTCCCCCGGTTACTTTGAAGCGAGGGGTCTCTCATTTTGTCTTCTCTTTCGTTTTTTTTTTTTTTTTTTTAAATAGGTCGTTGAAAAAATTTCAGTTTTGTGCAATTCTCTAACTTCTTAGATCTGCGAGGGCGGGAGGTGGGAAAGCCAGTATTACAAATTGGTAGGGAGTTAAGGACTGGAAAGATTTCCCAGAGCCGGAGGAGAGAGTTTTGTCTTGGCTTAGGCTTCGCATCCCTAGCGCTCCTGGAAGACGCTGGAGCGACTCGGCAGGGCCACATCAGGTCGCGGTGCTGAGAGCTTCCGTGGCTGAGCGCAGCCGGCCGCGTGAGGAGGTCCATCCGGCCGGGGCCGCCCCAGGCTGCCGGCGGCAGAAAGCAGAGGTCCGGGTCGAATGCAAAGTAAGCTACTTAATTTGTGGGCGCGCGGCGAACAGCGGAAGGAGCCGGAGAGCCCCGTCAGCGTGCGCGCGTGGGCACTGCAGTCCAGAGCAGAGCGATGGCTGATAAAGGAGAAGCCTGGAGTTCCGAGCGCTCTTTGCAAGCTCAGAGTTGGGCGCCGGTTTTCCTTCCCCCTTGCTGTGTTTTTGACCATCTAGATGCGCAACCCGAAAGGCGGAAAGACAGAAATTGCTGGAAGACAAGCAACACCAACGGTGTCTTCTAGAAGGACCTGTGCATCGACAGACTCCCAGCGTGCAGGAACCAGGGTCAGGCGCTGGGTTACGGTACAATGTCCCCATGAAAAGTGCAAAACTGAACCTGTCCGGGACCCTCGGGCTGTTGGAACCTCTGCGCCCCAGCGTCCCGAGGCAACGGAGGGGAAGCCCCAGTTTCCATGGACGCCAGTGGAGCGGTCCGCACGGGAAGGATATGTACTCAGGTCCTGAGTTTGCATACTCTGAGAAGCTGTGCGCTCTGACGGTCACTCATGCAGTGAGAGCAGCCCTGGCCTTAGCACCAGCTGGGGAGAAGTCGGATGGATGCTTTTGCTAGAATTTCATATCAGTGTAAAAGACAGAAAATGGCCCTCAGCTCGTCGTCAGGTTCAGGACAGTAGTACCCTCGAAGCCTCCCACCACATCCATCTCAGTGGGAAAAAAGTTCTTAAAAAGAAGAACCCAAGAAATCTGATTGGGTTTGGAAAGATGATGATCAAATGCACACCTAATTCCTAACAAAAGGATTTTTAAAAAAAATTTCACCAGATCCGCCCATGTTAGCTAAGATAATGACATCTCAAGCCGCTCATGTAAGAGAAAAGGTCGCAGAGCTTCTACACTCCAGGTGACTAGCGGAAACCCGAGAGGGCAGGTGGTCGGAGTTCAGCCCTTCTTGACTTCCAGATGGTCAAGTGACTTGTGACTGTATGGAGCAGGAAGAGCTCTCTACTGGAAAAAAGGGGTCGGTGGCAAAGAGGGGCTCCCTGAGCACTGGGCCCCGCAGTCCTCCTGGGTCAGCTTCATAAACCTTGGGTCTTCTTTATGCTCAAACTGAAAATGCTGCACCTGATTTTTAAGTAGCAAACTGGAGTTAGAGTAAATGGGTTTCAAAAGAAAGGGGTAGAAAACTTACAGGGCTGCAAGGTCTATCGGCCTTTATGTAAACATTGCAATTTTCTCAGCTGGACAATGCGCAATAAAGTTTAACGCATCTTTAAGGTACTCAAGAAGGAGTACAACAGATGTCAGAAAGAAAAGCAGAACCACTCTCTGGAAAGACTGGAAAGACCTGGCCAGGTTCTGCCAGTCCAGCCAGAAGCCTCTTTGGCCTGGCCTGACCAGTCTGCCTGGAGTGGATCGCCAGCCTTCGACCAGCAGCTTGGAATAGGGCTGAGGCAGCTTGGATGGGGGCTGCAGTAGGCCCGGAAGTTTGCCTGATTTGGGACACACACACACACACACACACACACACACACACACTCACTCACCTTTTTAAGCTCCAGAAATATAGGGCACCTGAAATGGGACTTCTTGAGCCCTGACTCTGATGCCACACACCCTCTGCTTGTGGTGCCTTCTGCTTTCCCGAAGGGCCGCAAGGTGTGATCATGGGGAAACTAGAGGTTCAGCGCCCCAGCCAGATAAACACTTTTGATGAGAACTTTCATCAAAGGAGTTCCAGGGTCTCCTGATAGGACAGTTTCCATGTGTCCCAATCCCCATCCTTTGGAGGGACTAACAACTGGAAGGGATGAGGGAGTGAAGGCGCCACAACTTTGCTCTCTGTAAAATGGGCTGATCCTCTCCAAGGAAAAGGGCAGAGGCGCCACAGGCAGCTGGCCTTTGGTGTGCTCTTTCGACTCTGGGGATTCACTGGCCATCGCAGCTCAGAGCCTACGCAGAAAATGCGAATACAAGAAGCGGCAAGCCTGAGGCTCCAGGGCAAGCCCTAGGATTTCTTTCTGGGGTGTCTTTACCCTCGCCAACGTGGCCAAGTACTGAATGGGGAGGTTGAAGGAGCCACTATAGGGCCAAGGCTACATGCAGCAGTTCGCAGAGGCCTCAGCTCGACCAGCGCCTTGACCTTGGAGAGCCAGACCTGGGGCTTTGGCTGGCGGCGGCGGCGGGGCTGCTGCGCTCTCCGGGCCACACCCCGCGCCCCGGCCGCTGCGGAGGGCGGAGGCGCGCAGCTTGGGGCCGTTCTCCCGCAACAGGTGTAGCCCCCGGCGGGTCTGCTGCTTCCTGCTCAGCCTGTACTGGTTTTGGCAGAGCCCGGGAGTTTCCTAACCTTCTTTGCACACGTGAAAGCAGCGGGTCCGCAAGGGCGCCGAGTCGGGGAGTCGCGCAAAGGTCTCCTCGCGACCAGGCGCAGCGCCCCGGCCCTGGAGCCTCAGGTTGGGCGGCGACGGCTCGCTCCCGGGGGACCGCGAGCTCCGAAGGCTGTTCCGCTCTTCCCCCACCTCCCTCTGCCCCCCAGTACGGAGACGGTCCCTTACCCAATGCCCAGTGACCAAGGCGTGCAGCTCGGTGCCCGATGCCCACCGCTCGGCAGCTCCAGAACCGAGTTTCGTCTGTTGGCTCTGCCCGGGACTGCGGTGATTTTGGCTCAGGAGGGAGCCCCCACCCCGGCCCACCCCTCGCAGGAGTCCAGCAGCGAATGTCGCCAGGGCTGACCTGCGGGCAGGCTGCTCTGAGCAGCAGGACTCAGTCTGCGACGTCCGGGTTCCCTTCGCCGCTCAAACCTCAAGCAAAAACTTTTCACCAAAACCGAAAAGCTGGAGGCTGTGCAAACGAGCTCACAAACCTGATCTCCTTCCACGGAAACAAAAACAAAAAGAACAGTCACTTCTCTTCTGGTCCTCTTCAGTCAAGGGACGACCTCAAAGCAGTTTTAGTTGACCACAAGTAGGACTTCCACGTAGAGTTTTCCGTAACGGAATAAAGCAGAAATTCCACAACGAGAGAGAGGAAATGACAACTCAGAGAGGAAATGACAACTTTTTAAATAACTAAAATCAACGTAAACCACAGTCAAGCTGGAATTATCTTTTACTGCGTCAATCTCTTGAGTCCCCTCAAATTCTGAGTTCCCAGATCAAAATTCCTGCAATTAGATAGGTGCTACAAGGGTCTAATCTGGACAGATTGGCTGAAGCCTTTCCACTTTTTGGGCTTCCTTATATTTTAAATAAAATCTTGAAAACTTGCTGATTTTTGCTCGGTTTTTTTCTCTCTTCTTCGTTAAAATGGGAATCCCATAGACAAAACAGCAGAAGGTAAAGGACAGCAAAATTTTATGAGACAGTAATAACTACTCTCCGCAATGTTGGATGTGAGGCGGGAGGATGCCAAGAAGCCCCAGAATAGCCCAAAATGATGAGGTGCTAATTATGTGAATATATAGACAAGTTAATACACTGGCAGACCTGGAAGCTTGATTTTAATGAACAGCAAGGTTAGCTGAAACTTACAGATTCATTGTAGTTATTTAAAGACTCATTGAAGTCAAAAGAGATATGAACTTCAGGACTTCATTTATAGGATTTCACTCAATATGGAACATGTTTCTCTTTCTTTCTTTTTCTTCCTAGCAACATCTGCTCAATCGCCAAAGCCTTGACTGAGTTTTCCTTCTATAGAAAGCATATAAATATGGAAAGCCTAAACATAGTTTTC